ATGCTTTTTTAAAAAGATCTATTAAGTAATCTTTGGTGAGGGGAAAACTGATAGGAGATGTTAAGATACTCTAGTATTTAGATTGGTCATAAGAGTTTTTATATATATGAGAGAAATAGTTACAAAGGGAGAAGGAAAGGAAAACAACGTATATGTAAGGGGAAGGAACAGAGAGTAGACGATCTGAGGGGGGAGTCATGAAGATAAGGAAAGAATAGGAAACTGTAGATGGGAGGTGAGAGCCATCAAAAGGAGGTTGTATCCAGCTGTTGAACTTACAGGCTAGGTGACACCCAAGAAGCAAACTTTGACGTGGGCATATGTGTGTCTACATGGAATGTTTTACAGTCAGCCATAGAAAGTACATACACAGTTATTGCTAAACACACATGTATATAAAGGCCTAGCACTCAAAAATGAAACGAGAAGAATGCACTTACACACACACACACACACACACACACACACACACACATTAAATGGATGAATGAATGAATAAAGCAGTGGAAAGAAAGGGAGAGGAGAGAAACAGAGGAAAGGAAAGGAAAAGAAAGGAAGGAGCTACTGTATCTGGGAGCCCTTGTTATCATAATCCTGGCCTGTCTCCACCACTCTTCTTGCCGACAGGTAGCAGCCTGATCCTGCTTGTTGAATTTCTACCACAGCCTGTTTGCTTCTACCCAGGATGTATCTCAGCTTCCTGACTCCATGTGCAGGTCGCCCAGCCTCCCTCTGGCCAGCAGCTTCAGTCATTCCCTGTGGTCAGGGAGGAGGCAGGATCCCTATATCTGCCTGATGGTTTTATTTTTATTTTTAATTTTTTTTCTCTTCCTCCTTTACTCTTGGGTCAAAACATTATTCCTGCTTGCTGGATTTTAGTCTGACTTGTGTTTTAGAGGTCTGGGAGGGGACTGGCAGGCAGCATCCACAGGCACATATCTGGGTTTTCTCCTCAGACCCTTCCTTCCCACCTCCAGCCAGGTGATCCTGTGTTTAGGTTGTTCAGCTTCACAATGGGTCTTTTCCAGTCTGTGAATTCTGCATGCCTAGGGGCTGAGTGCAAGAGGACCCCTCTGCGTGGAATTCAGTAGCCCTTGGATGATGCTGGGAGGAAGCCCCAAGTGCAGAGCTCAGTGGTGTTTGTGGGGCTCTGAGAAGGTGCCTGCTCCAGCACTACTCCAGTGTCTTCCCCAGCCTGGATCCCACTTGTGACAGCCACTGGAAGCCCCTGCAGTTCTGTCTCATGGCTCCTCAGAGCTTGGTTATAGGTCCTAGCAAATCAGTTCCTAGGGCTTAGTAGTGCTGACTCAGTCTCTGTCCTCTGAGTGATTCTCTGGCTTGTGTTTTCCTTAGCACTGTCACTGGGGAGGCCCTGTCATGTAGATGTCTAACTTCGTGGGCTCTGTGTCCTACTGAGAGTTAGGCCAACAGCTCTGCACAGGAGTTGCCTGTTTAGTGATAGGCAGCTAGTAGCAGCTGCCCTGTGCTTCTTCCCTCAGGGCAACTTGTACTGTGGTGGCCTTTTTGCCAGACCTGGCTGCAAGTAGCACCTAGATCAAAAAGCAGCTGTGCTGCTTTTCCGAATGCCCGTTAGTGGATTTTGTCCAATGGGCCTCACCTTCGAGTTGCCCTCCCGTGGGTGGGATTTGCATCTCTCCACGCTCATACCTCGGACTCTGGTGTCTTCACCGAGTACTGCTGTCTCCAGCACACATGATGTAACTCTGCCTCTCTTAGGATCTTTGCTGACTCTTCTTTGGTTTTCAATTTGTGTTTCAGTTTGGACAGTTTCTACTGGTCTGATTTTGGGTTTACTGACCCTATCTCCTGAGAGCCCTAGTCTGCTGTTTCCCTTTGCCAGTCAGTTTTTAATTGGAGGTGTTGTGTTGCTCAGTTGTGGAATATATATTTGATTCTTTTTAAAAATTGTTCTTATTATTGCAGTTACTTGGATTTTTCCTTCCTATTTATTTGTATTTCTGTCTGTTTTATCTATCCTATAATAGTTATCATAAAACACTTGCTGGTTAACTCCAATATTTGGAGAAATTCCTGCTTTTCAGAGATTCATCTGTTTATTACCTCAATTTTACGTGGATTTAAAAACATCTAGATTTCATTTAAGTGTGGTAGCAACAGCTTGTGCTTGTAGGAGTCAGGCTCCTACCCTTTCAACTTGGAAATAGAATTTGTTTTTGTGTGACTCCCTGTATAATGTGCAGGTTATGCAGGATAGATAGAGCAAAAGCATTAAAGAGAGAAGAGATCAGTATGATGTGTTTCTTACTTGCTAGTTCACTTTGTAAATGCTGGGTCGGGATAGGCTAAGGGTCCTGGCTACTTGAAGAGTTGCTATGTTGCTATTGTGCCTCAGTACGTGTGGTTACGATCCATGCTGTTTAGCGTAAGTAAAGCTTGTGTTACTTACTGTGACCTCACAGAATCTGTGGATTTCTCCGTGTTCTGACTTTGACATATAAGTAGCTAAGGGCATTATAAATACATTATTTGGTGACAAACTTTTAGCATCATCCCTTAAAATGCCATTTCGTACACATTCATCATGTTTGCAATGTAGTATTTGACAGTTTTTCTCTTAAAGATAATGAAATATTAACAGGTAAATGTAAACATTTATGTTTGCTATATTAATGTTAGTGGGCCCTTGAAGTTGCCTCCTATCATGATTATGAATCTAGGCCTGTAATTGTATTTTATTGTATTTTCTCAACTTCTTTGTGCAGTGTACTTTTTCTTTTT